CTGCTCCGCCGCCCACTCCTCCCTCCCCCAATCCGACCTCTGCGCCGCCGCCGGCTGCCCCCTCGACGCCATCGAGACCGGCGGCTGCGGCCGCCGCCCCTGCCCCCGCTTCTACTACGCCTACGGCGACGGCAGCCTCGTCGCCACCCTCTACTCCGACGCGCTCGCCGTCCCACCCTCGGCGGCGCTCCGGCTGCCGGCCTTCACCTTCGGCTGCGCCCACACCACCCTCGGCGAGCCCGTCGGCGTCGCCGGATTCGGCCGGGGGGCCCTCTCCTTGCCGGCCCAGCTCGCCGCCGCCTCCCCTGACATCGGCAACTACTTCTCCTACTGCCTGATCTCGCATTCGTTCGATTCGGGTCGGGCCTCAAAGCCCAGCCCGCTAATCCTCGGCCGTCGGCCGGCTGCAGAGGACGAGAAGCTGAAGAAGAAATTGGCCGGCGAATTCGTCGGCGGCTACGCGTTCACGCCGATGCTCGACAACCCCAAGCACGCCTATTTCTACTGCGTGGGGCTGGACGCGGTGACCGTCGGAAAAAGAAGGATTCCGTCGCCGGCGAGCCTCCGGAGAGTCGACCGGAAGGGCGACGGAGGGATGGTTGTAGACTCAGGGACCACGTTCACCATGCTGCCGAGTGAATTATACCGGACAGTGGTCGAGGAGTTCGTCGCCGGCGTCGGGGCGGACCGCCAGCGAGCGGCGGAGGTGGAGGAGCGGACAGGTCTCCAGCCGTGTTTCTATGGGCGGGCCGGGGAGAGGCCACTGGGCGGCGTTCCAAGGCTAGTGCTGCATTTCGCGGGGAATTCGAGCGTGGCTTTGCCGAGACGAAATTTCTTGTACGAGTTTTCCGACGTGGACGCGCGGCGAGAGGTGGGTTGCTTGATGGTGATGGACGGTGGGGACGAGGCGGAGAGGGGCGAAGGGCCGGCGGGGCTGCTGGGGAACTACCAGCAGCAGGGGTTCGAGGTGGTGTACGACCTGGAGGAGAAGCGGGTCGGATTTGCAAGACGGCGGTGCGGGTCGATGTGGGATGCGTTGAACTAGGACGAGTGCTAACCTGCCCGGTGGGCTAGGACACGTGGACGGTTGACTTTTGGGGGAGGGTCAAAACCTGGGGGATATTTCCCGGGGTGGGGCGTTTGGGAGAGAGAAAATTGTGGGGGTGAAAATGTGTGGAAAATAAATGGCTGTAAATTTGTGTATATTACTGCATAATTTTGTTTTGTGTCTTGTATACTAGAGAATTTCATTTTATGGAGTTTTATTTATATGGTACAAAATAAAAGATAACAATTGTCGTGTTATACAGGAATTACATTATTCTTAACTAGTACGTAACCCGTGCGATGCACGAGATGTAAAATTTGGAAGAATAATATAACCTCACGTGCATTAGGATCGAAATTGAAATCATTAAAATACATAGGAACATTGTTGAATCATAAAAGTTCGGTAACAATCATATATTATTAAAAAACCTCCTTGTACACAACATTATGGGTTTGATTATTTGGTAACTCCTCATTATCACAAACTAATATTTTCAGAAGAGACAAATCCTAAAAATCAAACTAATATTTTTGGTGAACAAACTAATATTTTAGGATTGATGAACAAACTAATATTTTAGGATTTCTAGAATTTGTCTCTTTTTGGTGAACAAACTAATATTTTAGGATTGGTTATATGCATAAGGCTACCTGTTTTTGGTGTTCCTTTTATTCATTTTCATTCAAACAATCCGATGACTTGTATAATGAAATCCGAATCTTAAGCCGAAATATTTAAAAAAAGAGTTTTTAAAAATTAAAAAGTCAAGGCAATCAGTTCAGATTAGTTAATGGTCAAAGAATATTCACTTCTTGAAATAAAGACGTGTGCTATCATTAACCAAATATCCGGTTATTGATATAGAGTGGTTACCAAAAAATAGAATGCGATAACAACGCTTCATGGAAATATCAATGGGATAAGGTCATAACAGATCGCTATACATTTTAACGATAAAAGCTCAGATGGAATGATTTATGATAATTATGTCGTAATTAATGAATTAATTAGATGTGTGAAAATGATATAATCTATAGTTATATTAAAAGGTATACCATTTACCAGATTTAGTATAAAGAAAAGTCAACAACATTTATTGCATTACTATTTTCGTATTATACAATCTATACTTATATAAAAAGAGATTCTATTTACTATATTTACTATCCAGAAAAGTCAACTGCATTAAATGTCATTATTATTTTGGTATTATAATATTTTATTTATTTAATTGATTTATTTATTTGTTTTATTTTAAAAAAGTAAGTATAATAAAAAGATTTTAATAATAAAAAAAATCAAATACCAAATAAAAATGTACACTTTGACTTATTTGATTAGATTTGGTATTTGATTATACCAAGTATATTCATATTTAGTATATACATTAAATACTTATTAAAGTATTTATTTGTTTTATTTGTCAAAGTTAAATATAGATTTGTTTATATTATCAAATCATAAAAAAAATATTAAATCCATATTGTAAAAAAAAAATCATATAATTTTATAACAATTCTACTACACTATTTAACAATATTTATTTTTTATTATATAATAAAATAATAATTAATATTATATGGTGAACAACAATAAGTAAAATTGTTACTTTCTCTTATATCAAGGGATAAATTTATATGCTAAAATTAATTTTTTATTAGCATAAATGTTTTAGTGAGATAATATATTAATTATTTTACAAGCTAGCCCTAACATGCTCATATTTAATGTTTTAAAAGATGTAGAAAAAAAACTTATAATAACTCTATTGTTTTTTAGACTTAAACGTTGATTATAAGAGGTAAAAATTCCTAATTTTTTAGACTTAAACGTTGATTAACACCATAGATTGAGAGTTTATATTTAGTAAAATTCCTAATTGTAATAAAAAAATTAATTTTTGCTATATTTTTTTTTTGGTCGAAACGATAGAGATTTTACATATAAAGGCGCACAAATGTGCAAAAGAACAGCCCCCAACTGAATACAAACAGCCAACGGCTGAATACAACCAGCTAACAACTGCATAAAATGGGAGGACAGGTCAAAGACCGCCTAGAGCCCGACCCCAATAGGGTAATAATCGGGAACACACAAAAAACACAAGAAAACACTAAATTTAGAATATCTTTAAATTTATTATTAAAAAAAATTACAATGAAAAAAGCAAGTTAGATATATATCGATTTGTTATACTCCTCAAATCACATTCACAATTTGGCTACAAGGAAAGGTTAATATACAAGAGACTTTAAGACTCCACTTGAATATTAAACTTTTATTGAACATTGTACAATTTTCTTGCGTATTATAAACTTTTATTGAATATGGCATCTTATAATATAATATTCTCCAAATAAATATATCTCGTGTTTTGCACGGGTCACGTACTATATATATCCCATACATTTTTCTTTATTCATGTATATAATTATAAGTCTGGATAATTAGCCTTAAAATTGTGCACCTCGTGCATCGCACGGGCTCTGTACTAGTTAATGAGAAGTGTGAAAATGACATAATTAATGAGAAGTGTGAAAAAGACATAATTAATGAGAAGTGTGAAAAAGACAAAAACTTACCGGTTTTAGAAAATATTTAATGCAAATCCGACATTAACCATAATTTGACCTACTATTTTGGATAAATGTTAATTCTTATCTATCATTATATTAAAAGATTAACCATTTAACACTTTTAGCAAGTTTTTCCCGCCAAATACATTTAATGTCTCCTAAAAATAGAACAGCATTAAATGTTGCCCTTAAATCATGGCAATTGTTAATTTAGTTTGGAGAAAATCGTGGCAACTAAAACAAACAACATTAATTACGGCTGATTTAATATTTAAATGGTAAACAAATATTACTTTTCTATAACTGATTAAAATTTACGTCTGTTTAAAAGTAAAAAACTATTTTGTAATTTCAACAAATTTGTACTATTTAATGTACGGCTGATTTAAAATTAAGAATTTACTTTTGTATTTTCACAAAAAATCGTATAAAGAAGTATGGCTGGAATAATAATAAAAAATTAATTTGTTAAACCATGTTTTGCACTCATAGATACGAATTCTCATCAAATTCAAGATTTAAAATTGTGAAGAATGTATATATATGTGGACTGATTGAAGATATATGATTCCTTAAATTAAGGAATTTTTTCCGGTAAAAAAAAAATATAAACTTTAAATATAGATTTTATTAGTAGTGTATACCAAAGAATATTGTTACATTTAAAATTCTTATGAAGAAGAATTCTATTAATTTTCAAATTCAACATCTCATAAAAATAATATAATACACTTTTACATTATATGAAACAATATTTAAAATCCACCGTTTCAACATGCATAAAATGTAAAATTACCTAACATGAATCATTATAACTTTCTAAAATCAGTATACAATTTGCTCGGTATATACTAATAGTCTAATAGTTAAGAGTTAATATTTGCTATGACATCTATTGGTTGGAAAGAATTCCATTTTGTATGGAATTCGAAATGAAAAAACATATTCTGAAAATCAAATCTGGTTTAGAGATCGATTTCTTAATGACCTTAAATTATGCAAATATATTGTTTCAGGTTTTAGGATTCTTTTTTATGATCTCAGTCATTGCATTATATGAAATCTATACATATATACAAAGTCATCCTATTTACTAGAAATAGTAGGCAGAAAAGTCAAAGGTAATTAATGCTTGCTGGAAATAAAATGATATTAATTACAGATTTGTTTTGGTATTTATAGGCTTGACATTAAAGATTTGTTATGGGATAAAAATCATAACAGATTTTTTTACATTTGTTGGAAAAGTCAAAGGTAAGTATAGATTTGTTTTATCCCATAGCATCAGTTTAGTTAAGAAAATTCCATTAAATGAGTTTTATATGTCAAGCCTATGAATAAAGATTTAATCGGTCAAAATTAAATCCTTATTTTACGTCACCCATAAATAAAGTAGATGTCAAGCCTAAATTGAAGGGTTTAAGTGTCTATATAGTCATTGATTTACGTAAATACATCTAATGTTTAAAGTTTGTGTAGATTGAAAATTTCTTCTTATCTTTTTACAAAAAATCTTATTATTATTGTATGGAAAATCAAACTCATAATGTTGTGTACAAGGTGGTCTTTAATAATATATGATTGTTTGTTTGTCGAATACTATCTTATTGTATAATTTTCCTGCGTATTATAAAACTTTTATTGAATATTGCATCTTATAATATAGTATTCCTCAAATAAATATATCCCGTGCCTCGCACGGGTCACGTATATAATTATAAGTCTGGATAAATAGCCTTAAAATTGTGCACCCCGTGCATCGGACGGGCTCTGTACTAGTTATATAAGTATAGATATAAAGATTTATTCATGTTATAATAAATAAGGAATCAGAGCGCTGATCTAGGAATACAAAGATTTTGGTTTCGATCAAACTAGACTAGTCGATCAAGTATTTTNTCTCTGCAAAATGTTGGTTTTGGATTGGACGAATATGTTGATTCCTGCACTTAATATAAATCCAAATAACCGATATTAAATTATAGTCAAACTCAAACCGTAAATTCCCTATAGAAATCAGAAGCGAGTCAAAATTTAAAATTTGGATAGGTTAGCTGGACTCGAACCCGCGGGTTCAGTATTTTTTTTTTCAAGCTTGAATTAGATATATTTCCCACTTTAGGGCCGGGACGTGGCCTGGACCGGCGGGTGCCACCTGTAGTTGGTGTGATTAATAAAAAGCTTAGCTGGACAGGATTTGGCAAGTCCAATGAACAGGTCAACTTTAGTTGAGTTTCCAAAATTCAATCAAGTTATAGAGAGGGAAAGAGAGAGTTTAGGAGCAATGAACACTGGACAATATCAAACGTCACAAAAAGTTTTTGGATCGTGACAACTGTACAGTACATACATCGGATCGGACCCGAGGAGAGAGATGGTAAAACCGAAAAAATTCAATGGATTCTTACCCAATTTTTGTTACTGTGTACCAAAAATATTCAATGGATTCTTACCGAATTTTTTTACTGTGTTCATTTATGTGATCAACGCTGAAAAAATTATGAAGACGTGAAATTTGTCGTCACCACTATTAGAATTTGCAATCTATAATTTTTTTTTTTTTTAATAAAATGCAACTTGAACTTCGTGAAAATTTATAATTTTTGCAATCTCGCCTATTTAGTCATTACAAACGTGTTTCTTTTTTGTGGATGATCGAAGTGAAGATGTATGTGAAATTACAAATAAAAGTTATTTTCATAAACAAACATTAATTAAATATTATTTAGAGTTTTCTTTACCTCACTTGTTAAGGTAAAAATATTATGTGGAAAACAAACGTAAATATAAAAATCAAAGATCCGATAACTATTTCAAACATGAATTACTTTACATTAAAATAACAAATTGTGTGTATATGTCAAAGAATGGATGAATTTACTTAATTAAAAAAATCATAACTTGTAGTTTAAACTTTAAAATTAATTAAATTAGTTAATGGCATCTTAACATTTTTGAATATAATATTATAAAAATATAATAAATATTTATACCAAATTTTTATATTTTAAGCCAACATATTATACTAACTATGCTAATCTATTATAGTTCTCAGACTTTATTATATTATTATTAATATTATTATTATTTTCTTTTCGGTCCCGATTCTTGGTGACAGACCAACCTCTCTTTGGTAGGCAGATAAATCGTATAGAAGAGAAGATAACTCCTTTTTTTGTATTATATAAATAAATAAAATAAAAGAGTATTTGAATATTTTTTATATTTTATTTGGGAATCCAAATTCGAAAGGAGAAAGAAACAAAGGCGCCGCCAGCAGCTGTTCAAAGTTTGGGTTTGGCACAAGCTGACGTAAGCGTTGCACGCGTTCCAATGATGTGCTCATCGCCAGCTGTCTGTCCATGTGCTGTCAACCACACGTGTGCTTCCAGATTCTTCCTCATCTCACAATTCACTTAAAATTAGAAAAGTAAGGGCATTTTTTGGATTCCTTATATATATTTTTTGAATATATATATATTGATGTTAATAAATGTTATACTCCCTCCTATTTTTATTATTTGTCGTTTTGAAAAGCAACACGGTAATTAAGATTTTTTTTCTTACCAACATTGACTCTATTTAATGGATGTTATGGAAAATGATAGAGATGAGATATGAAAAGACACTGTATATTATATAGAATGTTAAAAATAGAAAAATATTAACAAAATAGTCAAAACGAAATTTATTTAATCAATGATCAATTAAATCAGAGTGACAAATAATAAAAATAAAATGAAGTATTTTTTAAAAAATATTTCAATTGTATTAAAAAATATAACTAACTCACAGTTAGGCGACATCGTATATGAATCCAACCTGTTTTGAACAGTTTTATTTGGTTAAAGGTAGTTAAAGTGGTTATTTTAAACAAAGTTGATTGAATGCATGATTTTGAATTTGAAGTTAAATAGTATTTAAAATATAATGATCGGGCGCAATTGGATATGAATCTAATCGATTGTCGTTTTCTTTGGTTAAAATGAATTGTTTTGAATAAAATAGATTGAGTGAATGGTTTTGAATGTGAATAAATAATATTTAAAATATAAAGATTAAAATTGATGTGATATAAAAGTAGAAGAGAGATTATTGAAAGTGATATGTAGTTAAGATTATGTGAGTGAATGGATAATTAATTAAAGTTGATGTAATGTATGTGAATAATTGATTGATTTTATTTAATTTTTTTATTAAAAATAAGATAGTTAGATTTTGAATTAGATAATTGGTATAAAATAACTTAACCGGTAATAACGCATGTTCAATCACGCTCAAAGTAACAACAACAGTCGAAACTTTTCAAAATTTACAATTTTGTAAGATTTTTTACATAACTCAAACCATAAAAAAACAAGTTAATGTTAAAAATTAAAATCTTAGAATTAATCCCACTGTCACAATTTTTACCTTGTCAATTTGATGTGCCATATTATTATTATTATTATTATTATTATTATTATTCATAATTTCTTAATATGAAGTGTCATGTTGTATTTTCTTCTTCATTTTCTCAAAATTTAAAAACAACTTCAAATTTATGTCAAATTCTCTCACATTACCCCTAAAAAAAATGCAAATACATGCACGCACAATCACAAATTCACACATTATGCACACTCAAATTTGCGCACTCATATCGACACACACACACACTACATGCACTCAGAATCCCAGAAACTCCCAAATTCAAGTGCACAATGAAAATCAAGGACAAAAGATGAGCAGGATAAGAAAGATGATACTCATAAANAGTTAACACAAAAAGTTCAACAAATTGTGCTGAAACTCTCAATCGGTTGCGACTCTTCAAGCATGGAGGCCGCCTGAAAACAGTCAGCAGCATCGGCTAATCTCCCATCATCCTTGTGAACCATGCCTAGCTGGTACCACGCCATGTGATTAGTGGGCTCGAGCCTCAAAGCATCCGAAAGCAGAGTTCGGGCCACGGGCAACATCTTTGTCCCCATCTTAGACAGTGCAGACCCAATCAGAATCTTGCAAGGCACATATTTCGGTTCCAACAAAAGGGCATTGATGTAAGCCGACAAAGCTTCATTAATTTGCCCTTGTTTTTCATGCATAGCACCTGTTAAAACCGAGTAAAGGCGAGAACAATAAGCAAGTCTCATCCATATAATCCATTTTGTCAGAGTTTTTCTATTGTAAGAGAATGGCTATAGGAACACGAAAATAGTCAGATGAATGATTATAGGTTACTGTGCAATCTTAACAAATATGTGATGTATATTAAGGCTATGTTTGGTAAAACTAGCTTATAAGTGATTTTCGAGCTTATAGCTTATGACTTATAGTTGAAAAGCTAGCTTATATGTCTAAAATGGTAAAATTAGCTGATAAGCTAGCTGAAATAAAAATTTCAACGAGCTTATTTGAAAAGCTATCCAAAGAAGCTTATGACATAAACTCGAGCTTTTTAAAAAAACTCGTCCTACCAAACGAACTTATTTAAATACATGAAGCTTCTATGCTAACACAAATAAATAACATGTAAGCTAACTTATTTGGTTACCAAATAGGCAAATATAGCCTAAATAATAATATCATTGCCAAACTTCTACAGTCGTCACGACTCATTATCTGCCTTTTCTTATCATTTTTTCTTTTCCCATCTCAGCGACTTGATAAGCATATCACACACAAAGTGAATCGATCCAGAATATGATAGTTGATACATAACCATTATCCATGGAAGTCTACTTTTTACCTTATCTTATAATCCTCTCAAAAGTGATACACACACTTTCTTCTCTTGTAGCTTAAGCAACTTGTAGAAATAAACAAAAAAGAAATAAGTCCACTTTCAGGAATATAATTCCACTTAGGTCTCTGCAGGATTAGATCATTTCTTTTCCCCATAGATGAGGTATGTGGCAACAGGACACTAAATGGACCTAAATAAAATAATGTGATCCGGGATATGGTCCGAAACAGGCAGGGGTACCCAACTAAGAGTAAACCCACTAGACACTTATTTGAGGTCCATCCTAGAAACCAACTGTTGATATTAGGTCAGTTGTCTTATAAAGTGGCCACCCATTCCCATGATGTGTCACCACACACAAGTGACATATCTCAACAATTAAACTAAAATAAAATATACTTTTATAAATAGATAATAAACAAACAAGTAAAATTAAGGGTTCAACCAGTACCCAAAGATCGACAGTTCAGATTTTTAAGGCTACATTTCCAAGAATGTACAAGGGTGATTTTGTAAAATATTGGAGACGACATAAGTGCAGATGTTCAATTGTAACTTCCTTTATAGGATGAAGAAGTTTGATTACAAACCTTCTGCATGAAGTATTTCAGCTGAATACTCTTTTAGCGATCTAGCTTTTGTCAAACATATCTCCGCATCCTTCCAATGAGAAAGAATCGAGTACAATTGAGCTAGTCCATGCCAAACTTCATATTCATTTACATTACCATCCTCCACCTACGGAACACAAAAAGAGCGTAGCAAACATAACAAAAGTAAATATCTGAAAACAAGGTTGACAATAAAGATAGGTTAATGCAGGAATTTGAGTACTCCTCCCAGCTACAGAACTGGCATACAGTAAACTTCTCAATATGATAAGTCAATGGAAAAGAACTTGTATCAAACTAACAGATTTCTTTTCATTGTTTTCTTGTAGCATCATATTTATCAGCAGAGCAATAGGAATCAGAAATCAACCTGGGAAGCTAGAGGTCCATGAGATTTTCTTTGTGCTTGTACCAAAGCAAGAAGATAACGATAAGTCTCAATAGCATCCTTGTGCAGAGACTGCGAGATTTTTATCTTTGCTTTCATCCTAAGGAGTGGTCCTTGGTCCCACTTTGAAGTTTCATCTAAAGCTGCATCAGTAACCACTTCTGCCTCCGAAAAGCGTTGCTGGGCAGATAAAACCAAAGCAAGAAGTCTCCAGCCCTTTATCATTGACCCTCCCGTTGCATCTATATATTGCTTCGCATACCGTAAAGCTGCATCCAGATTTCGGTGCTCGGCATATTGAATTCCTAGCTCGAATATCAGCTCTGAATTCTCAGGCTCCAGAGCTAATGCAGTGTCCAATGACTTCAGAGCTTCCGTCTGAAGACGAGATCTCTCGAAGTCCGACGAAGAAATTTTCGCTTGCTTTCCTAAGCAGAGGCCCAACATACGTAGGCCAGCTCCTTTTAAATGGGCGTTTGGTCCTTCCGCATTAGCAATTGCATTACGTGCATATTTCACTCCCTCGGCAGCAAGGAATACATTCTCACTGTAAATCTTGGCTGCCAGCAGTAATGACATAATATCATTTGGGTCCTCATGCTTGTTCAGAGACTTCCTAAGCAAATCTAAGGCAGAATTATTCTGTCCAGCTCCACTCAAGGACAGTGCCATGGCCTTCCATCTTTCTATGCGATGTATCTCTCCAGGCATTACCTCTTCAAGCTCCTTTACTAAAACTGAGGTTTGGCTACATAGAGATAAAGCGTAAGTAAGGTGCTCTAGCACGGATGGGTCCCATTTGCTCTTACCGAGGCTAAACTTTCTCATAAGAATCATCAAAAGTAGTATGGCCTCTTCCAGATTGGTTTTGGGAACATACGAACTATCTACTTGGGAAGCTAAACTGGGTGGGCCAACCTCAACCCCACTATATAGCAAGAAGACTGCAAATGCTTTCTGAATTCTTGCACAACATTCATTATCAAGGTTCCATTGACTAAGTAGGGCCCGGCGGTATGCGGACATTGCTTCTGAATAGCGTCCCGCTTGCTTCCAAAGCTCTGGGAGAAGCTCAACAGCGTGGCTAACAGTTTCCTGAAGCTTATTCTCGACCATCACATCAGGTATACCATTGGCGAATATCTTTTCTACTGCATCAAGCACACTTTTGCATTCTTGAGCAGCCTCTGTGAAGAAATCAAACAAGTGTAATATCCAATCAGTACATTAATATATACCATAAGGGTAAATCCCAAGTTCTTTTTTTTTTTTTTTTTTTTTACNTTCAGATAATGAAGAAACTGAAGGGAGATAACATGAAATTAATGATAAATTACGCTCAGAATTCCTCGAAATTGCTTGAATAAAAAACTACCGGCTGATTTTCCGAGCTTCTGAAGAGACTTGGCTTTCAAATATATGGCCTCGAGCACAAGGTTAGTAGCGCCCTGTGACACACCAGATACTGATTCACTGCGAGAACGGCCCTTTTTGGATGGCTGTTTATCACCTAATGCATGTTGCATACGTTGTACGGCTGCTTGAAGATCAATGCCGTCAAACACCCGTAAAGCACCTTCGACATTTCCTCGCTGATATTCTAACTTCCCAAGAAGAGCTCGTGCTTCCTGAAAATAATTCGATAAAGTGTCATTTTTGACACTTACCTTCAATTCAGTAAAGAAACAAATAGTAAAGTAGTGGCCAAGACTATTCACATGAAATAAAAGCCATCAAATGATAATACTTGGACAAATTCATCTAAAAGATATAACCTTACATGCTGACTCAGTAATTTAGAAATAAAGCCAGTATAGATTGTTCATATATCATCGAAGATTCCAGAGATTTTGGCTACGGTTATATAATATAAAACTATATAAATGAAAGATATATCATATTGATTTTTGGTAATTCTTTCCGTACAAGAATCACATTATTTAATCATCCTCATTCAACAAATGCAAAGGTCTCTTTTTATTACTTGAAGATAAAGAGGTCAATACTCCAACTACTCGAACTCCAATAAGTTTCAACAGGGATGCATTTATGTAACATGACGAAATGGTATGATACTAATGACTAATTATGGATCAAAGCCTAACATAAGGAATAGTCTCATTAGCTTCTCAACTTAACTTGGCAATGTTGAAATTGGAAATAGTTCCCGAATAAACAATTATTCCACACCTCAGTGTATAAACCCATGTTGATGCAATACATAAAAGTTTCAACTATTTTCATATGGTATTGTGATATTTAAGAAGCACTATGTTAAACTTCTTTGAGAAATAGTTTCCAAATTTAATTATGAACAGAAAGTTACTATGGTGTTTTACCACATTTTTTTCTAACTAGTTACAGATTATCAAAAGGCATCTCTTGGCTTAAATGATAATCAAGTATATAGAGATAACAAAACTATATGTTTATACTTATTATCACTCATGTAAATTCAGAGCAAGAAATATAAAAAAACTTGAAATTCGCACCTACATCTGCAGTCAATAGAAACCAACTTCAACACCGAAGGTAAGTCTATCAAAGAAACTGAAGCCTACTTAGCATGCTTAAGCAATCTTATCTTGTCTCTTACACCATAAAATCAAATCATTATCCAGCTACAAGTAACATTAGCTAAAAGTCAATAGATCAAAAAATGAAAGAAAAAGAAGGCAGTTTCCATTAATCCAATCACTTAAAAGGAAGGGCTACGGAGTCAAGGCATCAGACTCAGTGTAATGAAGAATGTCCAAGATTGTATACTTTCCATGGGCATCACAGCTAACATAACATCAACATAACTACTTCACTTTTCTATTATATAAACCGAACAGTTAATTTAACTATGTTGATATTCATGGCAAATGCAGCTTAAAATCCAACCTCGAAATTTAGCGATAAACCATCCCTCAATGCAGACTCAGCCTCTTGAATATTTCCCTCGTTGAGCTTAGCTTCGACCTCATTTGTTTTCATGGAAACCCCATTGGCAACAAATTGGCGAATGGACGGATCATCCTCAATTTGGGCCGACTCTGGCGATTCACCCTCCGACATCTTTAATCCCAACGTATCTTCAGTAGAACGCACGAAAACAACAACGTCCCATCATTTTCGGCAACCTGACGTGANTATTCAGATATGATAAAGCTATTTCCAATACAAGAACCTCTCTGCATAATCATTCTAATCTAGCACAGATAAATCTGCTCAATGCCGGGATTTTCATAAATGTTTAAATCTTAATCGAGGTTGTAAAAAGGAAATAACTCACAGCAAGCGGCGTACATCGTACTACCACAGGAACACATGAAATTACCAACATCTTAGCTGATAATAAGCTAGCAAAATCGACAAGGATTGTTCATTTTACCTTTCTCAACGCGATATGATTGTGAGAAAAATGCCCACTTGCATTACAGGGAGAGACGGAGAGAAATTAGTTAAATAATAAATACTGTGGATCACCATAAAATGGGGAGATGGGGGAAATTCTCAATTGTATATTTTGTTTATGAGGAAACAAATAAAATCAATATAGAGTTGTTTGAAATAATATAAAATAACAATTTTGGTTTTACAGTCAATGACTTACTATTAAAGAAAATATAATAAAAAAAATATTTTAATATTTTTAAATAAAAATATAAAAATTAAATTCTACTTACATGGTGCAAATCATGCAATTCCAATAATAGCATGACTTTCTATATAAATAAAGTAGTATAAATTTTGGAAATTATTTTGTGACAATTATCATAATAAAAATTTAATTATTCATATTAATTACGAATTACATCAATTTCTTATTCTTTTTTGTAACAAAACCACTTCTACAATATGTATTCAAAAAAAGTGACTATTAAATATGTTTTGTTTGTAGAAAATATCATTCGAATATACATGATTAAATTCCAAATATAATTACACAATAAAAATTGAAAACCAACTACGAAAATTTTATTATGATATTTATCAAAATATTACAATTGAATATTATTTATCAACATTAATAACAAATCACTGTGATTTCTTATCCAGACGATAAAATATAAATGTATTCATATCAAAATGTGTTGTACAAATAATCTAAAATAGTAGTTGTATGTTTATCCTTAATATATTTAAAAAACTAATGCTAAAAATATAAAAATATAGGCAAATATTAATAATAAATCACTGTGATTTCTTATCCATACGATAAAATATAAACGTATTTTAAATCCTTTATGGATTTAAAAAATTAATGCTAAAAATATAAAAATATAAGCAAACAATTACTTGATCATGTATATACGATATTAAAATGATAAAGCAAAGGGTCATTTTGTGAACTATAAAATAAATTATTAGATTACAAATACTAAAAATATTTATAATATTTATTGTTATAAATTGTGATAAACCAACGAGTCATTTGACGAACTGACATACAAATTATAAGTTTAGAAAGAAAAATTTACATATTTATAATATATTACAAATTATGATGACAACCCAACGGATCATCTATCCAACTATCCATGTAAATTATTAACTAAAAAACTATTTATAATGTATATTGTTATAAACTATAATGATAAATCAACGTGATCTATCGGACAACGATGTAAATTAGATCAAAATATTTATAATGTATAATTTTATAAATTGTATTAATAAATCAACTGTTGTCGGACTGTCATATAGATTTATAAATTAGAAAATAAAATAAAATACTTATAATAGACATGACTATGAATTATAAAAATAAAATAAAACAATATTGACATAATTAAATTATTTTTTTTAACTTCAAAATATTATATATTATGTTTTTTTTAATTAAGTGTTGGTTATAATATTTGCCACAAATTTCCAACTTTAGCATAACTTATTTAGGAATCAAAATATTGTAATAACGTATGAGTATGAGAGGATAGAGACATAAGTATTATGCGACTATTATTTATTAATAATATTTGAATATGTTAAATTTCTATTATCCTTAATTCTAAACAAAAACTCTAAAATTACAACTATTTTTTACCGAGTGAAAAAAAATATATAAATCATATATAAAACTATTATACATCATAAAATAAAAGAAAATAATCAAAAATAATATTCAAAACTATTTTTATACTAATCAATATTTCTTCAACTACATTAATAATTATCGTAGGGGTGGGTCGGTAACCGAACCGATTAAAGTCGGTTGCCAAATTTTCGGTAACCGAAAACTCGATTCGGCTTTATACTG